CAAAATTTAAATTTTTTTTTTTTTTTTTTTTGCAATTCTGACTTTTTTCTTGAAATTCTGAGGGAAAAAAGTCTGAATTGCAAGATATAAACAAACAAAAAAAATCTTAATTGTGAAATATAACCGCAATTGCAAGAAAAAAGTGAGAATTGTGAGATAAAAATTAAAAAATTAAAAAGGTAATTGTGACTTTCTGTCACAATTCTCTTTTTTTCTCGCCACTGAATAAAAAAATGGTAATTGCGACTTTTTCATCTCACAAATCTGACTTTTTTTTTCTCGCCACGGAATAAAAAAATGGTAATTGCGACTTTTTATCTCACAAATCTGACTTTTTTTTCTCGCCACGGAATAAACAAATGGTAATTGCAACTTTTTATCTCACAAATCTGACTTTTTTTTCTCGCCATGGAATAAAAAAAATTAAAAAGTAATTGCGACTTTTTCTCTCACAATTGTAACTTTTTATTGCAATTCTGACTTTTTTCTTGAAATTCTGAGGGGAAAAAAGTCTGAATTGCAAAATATATACTTGCAATTCTGCAAAGGAAAGTCTTCATTGTGAAATATTAACTCGCAATTGCAAGAAAATTGTTAGAATTATGAGATAAAAAAGTAAAAAAAATAAAAAGGTAAGCTAATTGTGTTTTTATTTTTTCTTCTCACAATTGTGAATTTCGCAACTCGAAGTTTTGACCGTTTTTTTCAGAATTGCGATAAAACATTATTTGTAGTGTGCCTGTTATCCAATAAGCAATAAGCTTTGTGCTTTTCTTTTTAATATGAAAAAGTCTGAGCTTTCAAATTCTGTCAGTTTCACCACGAAATACAAACAATAAATGTAGATTTGGCATTCTTTCATGTGACGTGCACATTTACCTCAGAAAAGGCATTCATAAACGACCATAAACTTGATAGTTAGCAAGAAAAAATAACTCTAGAGAGGAGCATTTTAATAAATATAAGCATTATATTACATATTGACTATATTATTACTTAACCTGTTGGCGAGGTCTTCATTATTTAATGTATGTTTACATAAATCTGTCATGAAAACACATTTTTATTACAGCCACCGTTTACATGTTTACATTTCATCAACAATTTGTAGTAGAAAAATAACTGTATTATTAAAAAGTTAATATATAAACTATTTAAATCTTTGTATCAACTTGTAATAAATGTTATAATTAGTTTCTGTTTCAATTTTGGTTTTTGGTGTCTCGGTAAAAAATGAATTTCGGTGCATCACTAATTTTATTCAATCCGAACACAATTTCCACCTTCCAGTCTTGGTTTCTCATCCTTTCTCTCTCTCTCCCCTCACACTCTCTCTCCCCCCTTACAGACTCCAAGGGGATCTCCATTCACTGAGATCACATGACCATCAGCCTCATCGGGTCCCCGTCCCCCCCGATGTCCTCAAACTGTCTCGCTCCATTTCCAGCGAAGTGTAGACCAGCCGTCCCAGCACGCGCGCCACTGCGCTGCCCACTCCGGGGGACGCTCTGCCGCTCTGCACCGCTCCTACTCGACACAGGTCTAGATTTTCTCACCTCCAACCCCTCATCTTCCATATTCCTCCATGCTGCCAATAGGGCCTCCACAAACCACTCAAACAAACCACGAGAAGCACTTTTAGAGAGCCTGCTCAAAGATCGCGAACGTCTGAACGAAAGCCATAAATCACAGGTAGGCGTCTCACTCTTGCCAGGGAGTTTGTTTGGACTGTGGGTGGAGGATTCGCACCTGTTTAGACCTCTCAAAACCAACCCGACCTACTTCCTGGGGAACCGATGAAGAAGTCTTGATCAGCTTTTGGCTGAAATTCCAAACTCTGGCTGCAATTTTTACTGCAGTGTCAGTTTGTATGTAAATACATTCACTGTTTTCTTGATCTTTTTGTTAAAGGCATGTCTATTTTGTTCCATTTTGTTCATTAGGGTGACCATACGTCCTCTTTTTCCCAGACGGAGTTTTTAAATTGCCTAAAATGTCCAGGTTTTGGCTTTTCTTTCCTATTGTTTTCATACTTGCTGAAGGTAATGACTGAAAAATGCTTTGACCAATAGTGTGCAGGCATTGTACATAATCAATCAACCGTGGCGTGTGAGAAGGCAGGATCTACAGAGAACAGTCAAAGCAATGCAAATACACATACAAATAGCATATACGTATTGGAAAGAGCAAGTCAACAGGAAAACAAAGCCAAAACCTGGACATTTTAGGCAATTTAGAAACCACGGCCAGGACACGTCCGGGAAAAAGAGGACGTATGGTCACCTTAGCACTGATGGAGTATTTTAAGTTACATTTTTATAGTCCCCACAGTGTATGGTTTTGGAAAATGACATACATAAAGTATCTATTGGTTTGTTTTTGAGTCATATTCACCATGCACTTGGGACAATCTCATCAGCATCAGCTATCTGGATGGTCCTGTAAGTGCACATCAAGGAAAAAACCTCGTTCTTGATACCAGCTCTTATAATAATGTTTGGATGCATCAGAAGGAATTGACAGACAGAATGACAGACATAAAATTCAACCACAGCATTATTTTTAATATTTAATGTCCGTTTTGTGCTCGCAAGGATTTCTCCACCAGCTAGATGTAATGCACAGTCTGACATGAAGGCCTTTTCATTACTGTCGCCACAGATACAACACAAGGCTTTCAGACATGAGACATTCTTACAGTTTGTCATCAAAGATGGATTGGATTCTTCATTTCTCAGGAGAGAAATCATTTCATCATCTGTATTGTTGTTGGTATTTCTATAAAGGTTTTCAAAAATGCAGTAACTGAAAGTCAACTAGTTTCTTTCCTGTATATTGAATAACCTTTTCACATTCATATCACTATTTGTTACTAACAGGGATGTGTGCAATTCAGAATTGAATGGAAAATGCCTCTGTTTAGAGCCTCTGAATTTGAATTGAATTTGATGTAGCAAAGAGATGCAGAATTTAAGTTCAAATTTGAATAATAGGAAATGGAATTAAAATGAAAATCTGTACAGTAAGCTAGAAAAGAAAGGTTTATCAAGACAGACCTTGTATGTTGGCATAAATTCTTGTTTGAAAGCTTTTAAAAAAAAGATTGAAGTTTGAAGGTTCATAGGCTTAACAGATACAACTTGTGTAACTCTAAAAAGTTTTTTTTTTGCACATTTGTAAATAAACTTTTCATATGCTAATTTGATTTTGTATTAGTAGGCAGTGTTAAATGTCATGTTCAGGTTCTGTTTTATATTAAGTTCAAACTAAATTAAGTGCTACACTAAATAGAAATTACAAAAATAG